ATAGACAGCAGCAGTGGACTCATAACAACTGCAAAGTCATTGGATTATGAGCACTTTCAAGTTTACAGCTTAATAGTAAGAGCTGTTGACACTGGAAATCCACCATTAAGCAGTGATGCCATAGTAATAGTAAGACTAACTGATCTCAATGACAACCCACCTGTTTTTACTCAACAACTTTATGAAGCTAAAATTAGTGAGCTTGCCAGGCGTGGACACTTTGTCACTTGTGTAAAAGCCACAGATACAGACCAATCAGATGCAGAAAAATTGGAATATTCCATACTTTCTGGGAATGAAGACTTGAATTTTGTTATTAATAGGGAAAGTGGTATAATAACAGTCTCCAACCTTCGTAAATTAGTTCTGCATCCTTTCTACACTCTGAATGTGTCTGTCTCAGATGGTGTTTTCAGAAGTTCAGCTCAAGTTCGCATTGCAGTTATATTCGCCAACTTGCACAGCCCCAGTTTTAGACAGAATGAATATGAAGTGGAACTTTCTGAAAATTCTCCATTGCAAACACTTGTCGCTGAACTTAAAGCTGTAGATGAGGATGAAGGACTCTATGGTCATATCACATATCATATTCTCAATGAGTTTGCCAAGGATAACTTTTATATTAATGAGCGAGGACAGTTATTTACAGCAGAAAGACTTGATCGTGAAAATCCAACTAATAAGTTTATCCCTATAAGTGTAATGGCAAAAGATACCGGTGGAAAAGTTGGCTTTTGCACTGTCAATGTGATACTTACTGATGATAATGATAATGATCCACGATTCCGATCTGCTGAGTACAAAGTCAGCATTGCATCAAATATTCCCCGTGGTTCCACAGTTGTCAAAGTAGTTGCATCTGATTGTGATGAAGGAGCAAATGCTGATATATCATATTCTATTGAAGCCACATCGGAAAGTGTTGAAGAAAATTTTCAAATCAACCAATTTTCTGGCACAATTATCACAAAAGAAAGCTTAGTTGGATTAGAAGATGAAGTCTACTCATTCTTTGTTAAAGCAGCTGATGGAGGATCTCCACAAAGAGAATCTCTTGTCCCTGTGTTCCTAAGAATAATCTCTCCCGAAGTGATGCAACCAACATTTTTAGAACCGTTTTATACATTGAGTGTTTCTGAGGATACCTCAATTGGTACAGAACTTGACATTATCCGAGCAGAAAATAGTCAATCAGTAACATATTCTCTGGTGAAAGGAAACACACCTGAAAGCAATGTTGATGAAATTTTTGTAATTGACAAACAAAATGGCCGTTTAAAAATAGAGAAAGCACTAGATCATGAAGTTACAAAATGGTACCAGTTTTCAGTGCTAGCAGAAAGCATCCATGAGGATCAAGAGGTTGTTTACTCTGTAGATGTCAATATTCAAGTCAAAGATGTTAACGACAATAAACCTGTTTTTGAGGCAAACCCTTATGAAGCATTTGTTGTAGAAAATCTTCCTGGAGGGACAAAAGTTATCCAAGTGAAAGCAGTTGATTTGGATTCTGGGCCAAATGGACACATTTCATTCATACTGGCAGATTCACAAGAACCACAGGAAATAAAACAGCTTTTCTCAGTAGATTTGGAAACTGGATGGGTCACCACTGTTGGTGAGCTTGATCATGAGAAAATTGATAAGTACAACATTGTAGTCATTGCATATGATCATGGTGATAAGGTGTTGTCCTCCACAACTGTGGTTGAAGTAACCGTTATGGATGAGAATGACAATCCTCCACGATTTACTGCAGAAATGTATAGAGGCACAGTAAGCGAAGATGATCCTCCAGGTGGTGTGATTGCTATATTGAGTACCACAGATGAGGACTTTGAAGAGGTTCACAAAGAAATCACATACCACATCACAGGCAAGTACATAATCTGATCCTTTTAAATTGTGTGTGTTTTTTTTTCTTTAGACAATAATAGTTCTTAAGATAAAAATTCTACATAACAGTCAACAAACTGCAGGGCAAGCAGCCACATCTTAATGTATAGCAGTAAATTAAAATCAACTCTACTACATATGTTTCAAAGTATTATGTTTATAGCCTTATTATACATCAGACCTTGGAAAAATTCCAAAGGAACACTATAAATAAAATAACAAAATGTCATGAGAAACTGTTAATTTGGGATTTATTAAATTATGAAACAGAAAGTATTCAAAGGACATTTCGAGCACCATAACCAGTATAGCTATTGCATCAGAAAGTTACCCTTGCAAACTAACATTTTAAACAATCTGCTATTTAATTTTCATTTTCATCTGTGGTGATTGAGCTCTGTCCCCAACACACTGACATCATATGAAGAGATCTAGGTTTCCCAGTGATTCGTCCAAGTTACTTACATGGCCTAAACTCATATAGCTTTCATCATTCAAGTTAGTCTCCTCAACTTGTAGGAGCTGTGATGTGGAGGAGACTGACTTAAATGACTTGTATGCTTCGGTGTACCCACTGTCCAAGTACTTGGACAATATGATGCAGAAACTAGACAGCGTAGATTACGGTAACTATGACTGAAACTGCAATGGTTTAAAATGTGCTTTTTAGGGACATTTTCCTAGCACTAAATCACTACAATAAGATATTTTGGAAATTATGCTTTGAATTTCTATTTAAGAACCATGTGTCTATGTTACGTGAGATAACTGAGTAACATATTTTTCTGGGAAACCGAAAATAAACATATAATGTATACTGCAAAGCATACAGCATACAATCACTTATTTTTCACTCTTAAAGGGCCACTTGAGGTACCAAAAACAACTTAATTTAAATGAAATTGTTATGGTTCCAAAAGGCCCCTGAATGCAATTTTTATAGTTAAACAGTTTGAGAATGATTTAGATTAAGTTGTTTTGGTGCCTAAGTGTCCCTTTAAATATACAGAGAGTATATATGTTTTACTTCTTGAACCTAGTTTCCCAGAATCACTAACCTGTAGCTTTCTAAATGTTGTTAGATTAGTAACTATACAGATATCATTCATAATATTTTGCCCATTTCCCTTGCTTATATACTGTACACATTTATCAGTATTGTTTTAGACAAATTTACATAATTTCTCAAAGACCAATAAAGTGAAGAAATGCACACAACATAATGTCTGCATTGGTCTACAATCATTTACTACTAATGTATGAAGGCTCGTGTGAGTTTAAATTTTTTTTCTTCAGTTTGCTTTCAAAGCTTAATTGCATAAAGTAATGCCTAATCATTTAATGCAGAGAGTTAATGGGAGAGGGGAGTGATTGGTACTTAAAATATTTGTTAATTTCATCAGCAATGTAAATTATCATATAGCAACCACCGTAAAAGGAATTTGTTTTTTTTGTTTTTTTTTTACTCTTAAAACTCTCTGTGCACATTAAATGTGAATCTGGATTTATTTCCAGCACTTCCCCCTTTTTACTATTTCTTACATTTTTACCAATGTAGGAGGAGACCCCCTGGGACAGTTTGCTATAGAAAATATGCAGAACGAATGCAAAGTCTATGTAAAAAAATCTCTTGACAGAGAAGTGAAGGACAACTATATTCTCAACATAACAGCAACTGATGGAATGTTTGCAAGTAGGGCTGTGGTGGAAGTGAAAGTTCTTGATGCCAATGATAATAGTCCAATATGTGATAAGGTAAACAAAGGGATTTGTCTTGTCTTTGTTCTAGTAGTTTTATATATGGGGGGAGATGGAAAAGGATCAGATTTGGTCAATTAAGAATTTGGTTTGCCATTGAGAACATCTTGGCCCTTTCTTACTGATTTTTTTGCAATCTAGGAAAAAAATTTTATTCCTGCACCTCTCTTGACTTTCCATTATTCTATTCTGTCTCTCACCCTCTCATCATCAGTCCCTATGTTTCCAGTTTACATGACCTCATTCCTTACTGTCTTAGGGTATGACCTCATTCTTTACTGCCTTAGGGTATGACCTCATTACTTACTGTCTTAAGGTATTACCTCATTACTTACTCCCTCTACCAGTATATATGTTGCCCTGACCTTTATTTGTCTTTCCTCCAATTGCCAATTTTAATTTGATCTGATTCCAATTATGATCATAGATGACTGTATCTAAGCAAAGCACTCTGGATAAGAACATTACACATTGCAACATTTCTAAACTACCTACAAAATTACAGTTTTAAAATAGACCTAAATGTTTACAGATTACTTTTTGATAAATAGTAAAAATGTAACCTATACAATGTACAAGAAAATTCATAAATGTAAATAAATAACTCCGTTTCGGTCTCTTCCACACATTGCATTGCAGTAGGTGATTAGATGCGTGTTTGCATCTATTTCCCGAAACAAGTTCAGCTTTGTATAATCTGGAGCAGTGCATTGTAGAATTTAACACTGTCAAATGAAAGCAATGAGCTTAAAGGAACACTTTAGGGTCAGGAACACAATCATGTATTACTGACGCTATAAACAACACTTTTCCCTTACCCCTGTTTAAATAACTAGAAAAGTCATCGTATTTCCAGTGCCACATAGGTTTGCCATCAATCAGAATTGATGGCCTAAACCAATCACAGTGCTTTTCCATAGGAAATCATTGATTTGGCTTAAATGGTCAATTCTGATGATCTCCTTTAAAGAGGATTGGCAGGGGTGGAGCCAAACGCCACTCTAGCCAATCAGCATCTCCTCATAGAGATTCATTGAATCACTACATTTCTATGGGGAAAGTTCAACATCTCAATGCAGAGCAGGCAGCAATGACCCAGGAAGCACCTCTAGGGGCTGTCTTAGGAGTATCCACTAGCGGTGTTACTAGGCTGTAATGAAAAGGCAGTTTTTACAGCAAAAAGCCTGCAGGGACTAATTATACTCCTCAGAACAACTACAATAAGCTGTAGTTGTTCTGGTTACTATAGTATCCATTTAAATATCAGTGGACATTAGTGATGTCCCGAACGGTTCGCCACGGACTGCGAACATAAACATAAACTTTGACCCTGTACCTCACAGTCAGCTGACACATTCTAGCCAATCAGCAGCAGACCCTCCCTCCCAGACCCTCCCACCTCCTGGACAGCTCACTAAGAATGCAGCTTCACAATGAATGTAAAATGGATGCTGTCCAGGAGGTGGGAGGGTCTGGGAGGGAGGGTCTGCTGCTGATTGGCTGGAATGTGTCTGCTGACTGTGAGGTACACGGTCAAAGTTTATGTTTATGTTCGCCGTCCGTGGCGAACCGTTCGGCGAACCGTTCGGGACATCACTAGTGGACATATTTAGAGTATTTGCTATTAAACTAATGGTATAGAAAGAACGCTCAAGCCAATCCGTCTTGAAACCAACAGAGGCACAGTACAGATAAAAAAATAATAAAAAGATTTAAAATTGTCCTGTCACAACCACGTATACAGTCTGAGCCATGTTGGTATGTGGGTATAAAAAGGGTAAATTACCTGCAACCTCTAGATTTACAAACATTACCCTCCACCGCGTAAAAAACTAATTAACCCCTATATCTTACCTACATTAGCCCAAGTTATAGTTAATATAAGAACCATTCAGCCCATCTAGTCTTTATCTTAAAGGGATACTGTAGTGCCAGGAATACAAAGCTGTATTCCTGGCACTACTGATCCCTCTGCCTACCCCTCCCTCGCATCCCATCCTGTCCGGTAAATAAAGGGTTAAAACCCGTTTATTTACTTACCTTTTCCCAGCGCCGATGTCCATGGGTCAGAGCTCTGCCCCCTCATTGGTCCTGTGACGAGCGGGGTCTAATGTGCATGCATTAGACCTCCCCATTGGAAAGCACTGAATCAGTGCTTTCCTATAGGGAAAATCTGACGCTGGAGGTCCTCATGCAGAGAGTTAGGACGTCCAGCATCAGATAACGGACCAAAAGTCTGTTACAATTCCGGAAGCGCCACCAGTGGCGGTCTGGTAGTCAGCCACTGAGGGAAGACTTAGTTCTCTGGAACTGCAATGTTTTACATTGCAGCACTAGGTGGAAAAGGGACACAGCACCGAGACCACTTCAATGAGCTGAAGTGGTCTGGGTGCCTACTGTGTCCCTTTAAGTCTAGGATAGCCTTATGCCAATCCCACATATGCTTAAACTCCTTCACTGTGTTAACCACTTCCGTTGGAAGACTATTCCATGCATCCACTACCCTCTCAGTAAAGTAATACTTCCTAAAAAATTTAAACCTTTGCCCCTCTAATTTAAGACTATGTACTCTTTGTTGTGGTAGTCTTTCCTCTTCCTCTTGTTGTGATAGTGAGAGGTTCACTTTAAATTGTATCCTTACCTGATAGTCTCTCAAATTTATTTATATGAACAAAATCTTACATTACATGGCATGCTACTTTATTTAAATATAATTATATATGTTCTTCACAATGTTTACTTTTTTCATTCCAGACTTCCGCCTCTGTTCCATATTGTTTACTTACTCTTTTCAGTGTGGAACTGGATGGCTGCTGGCTTTTACTAAAAATAAACAAGTACATTGGTACTGGGAATAAAAAAAGAGAATAAATATCTTGTGACCCGAGGAATCCCTTAAGCTCCGCATAGTTTTGGAAGAAATATATACTTCTTATGTAAAAACAAAATAATTTTTAGTTACTTTAATGCTCCGGCTGCTTTCTGTTATGAGAAAGCACCGATCTCAGTGTGTCATGCGTGTTCTATACTACTGTCTATTTGTGATGTTTTATAAAAGATTTGTTCAATAAGCAGAGAAATATTTTTTAATTGAAACCTAAAGCATTTTAGGTCTGCAATACCCACACATATGGTGCATTGAAGTGGCATGGCCACAAATGATGTAATTTAAGGAGTTATTCTCTCTCATTATTACAGAGGATCTGGGTTAACAATGTTAGGGTGCCACTTTAGAATCAGGGCTTAACAGAACCCAATCTGGGGCTCCGGCTGAGTTAGCCACCACCACAAACACCCCTGATTTGTATGGCAGACAGTGTTTTCGTGTGCTCTTCCTCAAAGACTCAATGCTTTTTGTACGAAATACAAATTCCACATAATGTTTGGCATAAGGTTCAAAACAAAATATAAATTATTTACAAGTTATTTGTTTATGGAACTTACATATTTGTTTTTATTTCCTTTTTTATGCTAAAAGAATTTCTATGCGGAAACAATCGCAGAAGATGCCTTACCTGGAAAAGTAATTCTACAAGTTTCTGCAACTGATGAAGACATTCGCTCCAATGCCGAGATCACTTACACTTTGCATGGACCGGGTTCAGAGAAATTTCACCTCCATCTACTTATTGGTAAGTTCTTGGAAATAGAAGGATTACTAATTTGAATTTCTAACCTTTAATCCCAGAGCAACTTTTCTTAACCTGTTAAGGACTGATGATGGTCTGTGTCGACACAACATATCTGTTCTTTAAATCCTGTGTGTTCTTTAAAATAGAACATTCTGCTTGATTAACAGAGATCTCTCTCTTTTAAAAAAACCAAAAACAAAACATGCCTTTCCCTCATGAAGGTTTTGCTGTCAAAATATTATTTATGATTAATGACTATATATATGAAAAAATCCTTGTCTCAGATTAGGCGGTTTGTTTTGAATGCTAGTAGTTCAGGAAATATTTTTTTGTGTGGAGTCCTCTGAAATTATTGGTTGTAGCTCTTTAAAACTTTTACGTACTCCTTCTAGAGATGGGTTGTAGAGGGACTCTTGATTTGATCTTCTCTTCTTTGTATTGTAGGAGCCTTTCCCGTGGTGTTTTTAGGGCAGATTTGATTTTTTTTTTTTAGATATTGTCCTTTCCTTGTAGCCTTTTTGCCTAAATGACTCTGACAGTGTACTTAGGTGCTGATCTTGGTCTTTTGTGTCAGAGCAAATGATAGCCTGGTTGTAGATGATACCTTGTTTGGTGTGATTGGGATTGCTTATGCAATGTATGATCATATAATGTAACTAAACCCCTAGATTAGGTGTTTAAAAAAAATAAAATAAAAAAAATAACAAAATCTGTCAGCATTGAAGTTGCTGTTTAGTGGATAAGTGAGTATATAAACTGGCCCCCAGCATCACCCCATTTATGCATGCTCAGATGAGTGCAGCACTCTGGTTTCATATATATATATATTATATGAAACGCCAAGTCTTATGGCTTGACTGGTGTGTGTATTAACTATCCACTTACTTCAGGTGAAAGGGGTTTTTATCCACGCTTTTTTCCCCACCACAACTCTGTTGGTATGTACTTTACAAGTAACGCCAAGCCGCCATTGCAAGCCAGTAACCAACCTCATGCTGATGAGTTGCGTTAACAACGAAACAGCTGTCCATGACTGGTTCACTGGCTTTGTTCCTCTTCCTGAGTTGTTTCAAAGTTGTTGTATACAGCAGACACATACTCCAAGGAATCCATGTATAAAGTGGAATTATGAGGCAAAAATGTGGTTCTTTTTTGTGCTCATTTGCATACACCTACCCAGAATCCCTTGCAACAGTGAGATCACTGCTAAAGTGAGATTTCTGTGGGAAAAGCAAGTCTTATAGCTTGACTGGTGTTTATTTGTGTTTAGCAATGTATTAACTATCCACTTCAGGTGAAAGGGGTTTTCATCCATACTTTTTTCCCCCACCACAACTCAATTGGTATGTACTTTAGAAATATATATCTCTGTCTATAAAACATACAAGATCCTGAGCACTTACTCATTCAATAAACCACAATTTCAAGGTTCACAGAATGTAATTTTATTTTAAAACACCGCACCTTGTGGGGATTTAGTTACAGTATATGACCATACATTGCATTAGCTTGCCATAATACCAATGTATCCCATTCTTTTCAGGTCCTACTTTTTAAATGTGGTCAAGTGGGGGTGAGTTACTGTAGCCTACAGCTCCTCTGGCTGCAGGCAGGGTTCTGCCCTCTTTCTAGCTCATTGGAATGTTGCCATGATAACCCATGGCAGTGCTCCAAGTTGCCCAGCTCACAGGAGGATTATTTACCCTACCTGCTCCTGTTGTCCCCTTGTTCTACACTCCACCACCCTGAAATGTCTGTGGGCTGGTGTTCTCTGGCAGAACACCGGTCCTTACCAGCCCATAAAGTCACAAAGAAAGGCCAGTGGTTCAATAGCACCAGCACTGCATGTGCTTGCAAAGGTGATCCTCTGATCACCCCAGTTGGCCTTGAGCCATAGCGATCACGGCCCAATGGGCATTTGCCCAGTTTGTCCAATGGCCACTCCGGACCATGCCATTACATCCTGCAATGAGCTCAGCTAAGATGAAAACCTTTTCAGTATAAATTGTCATACTTGTGCAAGAATGATTCATTATAAAAAACTAAACTTCTTAGAAAGAAGGATTCAAATCCCACAGTGCCCTAGGCAGTCCTCACCAAGGAAATTAATGGTTGTGAAGATTCTGTCTAACAGTGTCTCTATGTGCCTCCTGTGTCTTTATTGCTAATCCTGCTCTGTTTCCTAAACGCTGAAGCAGAAGAAAGGTGAACTAAGTTTGTGTATTTTGCTATAGTAATTATATTGAAAACCCTTCTGAAATCAGTCCTATTTAGAATCTTCTAATAATTGTTGGAACACACACACACAAGTGATTGAAAGATTTTCTTACACAAGAAATGGTGAGATTTTTTTGCACTGTACCGATCTACAGTTTAGCCTGTATTATTATTTTCCCTTTTAAAAAGTCTGAGCTGATTAAAAACTTTTAGACATGTAACCCTTTCATGACGAGGGGTTAAGCTAGCTCCATTATTGTGACACGCATACTATACTTTCTGCCTTTAAGGGGTTACGTGGATACATAATTTCTACCTCATTTGTTAGCAGTCACAATGCGTCTGGTTGCAGAATTGCAAATGGTTAAACTCAGTAAAATTATTTGAGGATTTTTTTTTTCAGCAATGGTGAAGTCATTAACTCTGCTGTAGGTTTGCATAGAATGTTTGCATAGAATGGTTTCTGATTCCATTAAGAACCATGATATAGAAAATGAGTTTTTACTATGACAGTTTAGGCATGTATTTGGTTATGGAAGGTAATATAATTTTTTTTTATAGTTAAATCACTTCAAATTATACAGTATTGCAATATTCATGAGAATCCAATCATAATTTAATGAAATCTCAGCAACCACAAAATATTACTTTGATAACCGTAAGACA